ACTAGCTGACCCGCGCAACTTCGTCTGCGTCTCTCAATAGTAATAAATTTTCTCCGTTTTTGAAACATTCTTCATTGGTGCTTCGCTCCTATTGGTCTTAGCGTGATGATATATAGCCTATAGCCTTCCTCGATAAATGGGCTATCTAACACTGAAAGAATTTTTCAAATCGGACCAGTAGTTCCTGAGATTAGCGCGTTCAAACAAACAAACAAACAAACTCTTCAGCTTTATAATATTAGTATAGATTTATTGCCAGTAGAAACTGAACTAATATTGTTTAGACTTTCCATATCATGATAACATAACATAGACGTCTACCGTTTCACAAACTTTTGACGAAAGCATTTTCACATCTTTCTATACTTCGACTCCGAATTTCACGTACCTTCGCAAATAAATATGTGTTAATACAATAGACAATATTGTTGAAAAAAGTAAATGATGCTCCAGTCTAGCATAGCACAGTTTTGTAGCGATAATAATAATGTCTTTACCTTTGAAGTTGGAGATTTTTAAAACCAGCATTTTCATATTGAACTATCTGTGGATTGGCGCGCAATTCAAAATTCAAACTAATTTTATTCGAATGCCATGTTATTTTAATTGAAAAATCAGTCATTTGTTTTAGATAGTCTTTTGTTTTAGTGAAATTGTGGTAGTTTCGGCATCATGGATAACTGGTTTCGTCCAATTTTCGAATTTGAGTTCCTACGTGGGAATACCGCTACGCAAACAGACGAAACATTAACGACGCGTACGAGCCTAATACTGCTTGCAGAAACACGTTCCATTATTTTCTACGGTACAGGGATAAACAAACTGACATCAAAATGGCAAAATTATGTAGATAATTTGGGCCAGTACTTTGATTAGCTAAAATAAAAATATTATACCCAAATTTTCATATTTTTAAATTGTTATACATATCTTCAACTTTATAGGTAACAACCTAAAATATCAATTAACATAACGGGACCAAAAAAAAATGAATACAGATACAATAGTTTTAAAGTTTCTTAAGGACGAGTAAAATAACAACTTTCTGGATAATATACAAACAAGTGGAGTTTAGTTAGCTTAATTGCTTAGAGAAGAAAGTGGATAGATAACTATTAGTACCGTGAGAGTATCAATATACACTAAGTATATATGCTATATTTGAAGGACCTGTTTGTGTAGTGGTTAGTGACCCTGACTGCTAAGCCCTAACCCTAGTTTGTTTAGAGCGTCAAAAACTGTAAAATTATAAATCGGGTATTTACGTTTGTAGTGGAAAATTGACACTTCAGACTGTGGTACATTCAAAATAAGCCTGTGTAACTCCCAAGCAATTCCCTACCATTATCAACCATTTTATAGGAATTTAAGCTTTTGTGATACTGAATCAGGTCACGATGAGGATTCTGATTAAGATTTTTAACTGTAATAGGCCTGTAATAGACCTTATTATAATTTTCATGATTGTGTAATCATGTGTAATAGTCGTGTCTTCAGTGCAGTGTCTATTTTTATGAAAATAATAACTATCGTGTTTTGTCAAACTAACCAAAGTTGTTTCATTTACTAGAATGTCCTTTATTTCATAAAATATATTATAATAATCATCAAATAATACTTAAGTAACCTATTCGAATAAACAGTTATAGTCATAACAATACATTGTACGTTACTGTTAAACAATCGAATAACCTAATAATTACTTTTTACAAATGTTCAAATACAAAACAAATTACACGAATAATGGCGCAACATGATATTACCGTTGCTGTGGAAAATATAAATTTACACGAACAATATCGCAACAAGATTTTACTGTTGACCAGAGCTTGACCTACACTAATATAGTAAAATGCATCCAGCTAAATTATAACACAGCCCTTGGGACTACTTTAATTTTGTTGAAATAACCAGATAGCTGAAAAAATTAGCTTCCATATGCGATATAAAAAGTCTCTGATACTTGTTGTTTAATAGAGTTATTAAGGAAAAATGGTTTTTTATTTTTCCTGAACATTTACACTTTTACGATAACCAGATTATTCGCGGGGGGCGTCGCGAAGGAACTCATCTGATTTGTTATTTTTATTTAAAACTACACAACAATATTGATTGACCAGATCTACTCTCAAAATTGAAATTCAATACCCCTCACAAATGTCCCAGAAAAACAATTATGCTCCTACATCCTCCTTTTCGAAATTCAGTTTTAGGTTCCAACTCGCCTGTTACACGGTTAAGTAAGAAATACAATCACTACAGCATGCATTTCAACGATTTAAGATCGGAGTCCATAATCTTACTGTCGATTAACCATGTCATCATCAACAGCCTTTAGCCTTTTTTTACAGTCCACTGCTGGACATAAGCCTCTCCTTAGAAAGGAGGTTTTGGCCTACTATACCACGATGGCCGACGGGTTGTATAGGGTTTGTGTCAAGCTTTCCTTTTCTTTGCAGTGTCGTTGTGCTGCATAGTTTGCTCCCTTAGTCGGCTCTTACAGCACCCACGGGATGAATATGGGTGGTAACACTCCGTATTCTTAATCCGTCACCACATGGACAAGATTAACCATGTACTTGCTCATAGATAAGGTTATAGATTCTGTAACATTTGTTTCATCGCTTTTTCGACAACCTCTGTCAATAGGTAATCATTTTCTAAACCATATGAGACTATATGCTGTTATATGGTGTTTACCCAAATAAGTTGTGCACTCAGATGAAGGTTAATACTATGTTCTATTTTTTACAAATGTGTTAGTGTAATAATTACTGGTAAACCAATAAACAATGCAATTTCTTCCTAGCAACCTTAATATAGACTAAAATGTTTATTTTGTAATAGTTGTCGCCTGTAGCTTTGCTTTTGTTTTTTATTTGTAACTTTGAAAATGACGAACATCCTTTATTTTACCCCCTTGAGGTAAAAGTTTTCAAAAAATATTTCTTGGTAGGTGCTTGTAACATAAAAAGTATCAGCTTCCAAAATTTCAAGTTCATAGCTCGAGTGGTTTAGGCTCTGTATTTTCTGACGAACTCATTACACAATAGATTTCATACGATCGCATAAACCTATAGTAACACACTCCGTTCTCAATTTAATTGGTTCAAAGCACTCAAAGCTTTTAGAGTGACGTTGCGTTTCTGCAACCGCAGCTATCTACATATTCCCTGTTTTAGCTTTGTATTGGGATACTGTTAAAGAACAATTTAAAAAGGAATACAACTTAATACAGCAAAAATTTGAAGAAGGGCTAGGCAGAAATTTTATACGTGTATATTTTCTAAGGTATATCAAAACATTTGCATTTAACCAAAAAGAAACAGATACAAATTAGGTGGAGTCTCGCGTTGATCCCAATTTAATCGGCAATTACAAGAACAAATCTGAAGCCAACGTTCGAGTAATTCTTACAATATAATGTGGGCTGGAGCTACTATAGCTTAATTAACTTTAAGTGACTTAGAGATTTCTAAAGTTGTAATGTTGCTAATACTGTCGAGAGCTAATACTATGTTATACCGTACAACATAAGATATTATACACACATACACAGCTTGAAATTATATTATGTATTTAAAGCTAATAATTCATTATTTACTATACAAGCATTTATTTTGTTAACCTGTTCTTTTCAGTGGCTATCATAAGTGACTGGAGCATTCTGATATAACAAAAAGTACATACTAACTCATAACAAATTTAACATCTGTTACTAATAACTATACAAATCTATGACCTTTCAACTAATAGTGTTCCTGTTAATAATAAATACATCAATTACGAATCAACCTTTACCAACTTATTAGACCATTGTTCAATACTTATAGAATTAATGTACTGTAATTTACCGTTTACTAACTGTACTAAGAACTCTAACATTATGTAATAAAAAGCAGCAATATGTATCAAATGTCGGTTATTATCTAAGATATTGCAGCGCAAAAGTTGCACAATTTGCAAAGTTTGATATAAGGCCCGGTCTTCACGAGGTAAGTTCCAGACAAATTTATATAAGAACCGACTTGTTGGTGTACGTGAAATTTTGTTGAAATAGTTTCTAACACCCGCAGGATAATATTTCAGAAAGTTTCTCTGTTCTAGTATGAAAGCAAACAACATTAGGATTCTATGTATTTCAAATGAAATGGTATGTTTATGACTGTATCTAATGATTACCACCGCAATTCTATTATACGACTAAATAAAACACGAATATGTTGGGTTCGAGTGGTATCCGGTACATAGATACGCTAATCGGAAACACAAAAATAATTTCCATAATCATTATAGTTTTAATATTGAGTTCGATTTGTATAAAACACTCATCATCATCAAATCTCCAATCATCAAATATTCAAGTGTATACGTTCAAATCATTCTGAGCCTCATCAAACTCTAAAATTTGTCATCCACATAACCACAGCAGTAAACCAGGTAATCGACAGAAGTGGCTCGAACTCAAATAGGTTCATAAAATTAACTATATTATTTTGTTTAATCAAAATAAATATTAAATAATAACAGACTAAAAAACCATAACTGTTGTTGCATGTCCTTAAAATGTTAATATTCTACTGTATTGCCCATATTGACTTCTTATTTGAATTTCGTGATTGCATTTAGCGTCTCTTAAATAAATAGTAGTGTCTAAATTAAATCATCTGGATTATATTTGTGTCCACACCATTAAACCATTCAATTTGCAAACTATACCCTTTATAATACTTACAAACTAATGTTCGATTACTTTCGCCATGACTTTACTGACGCTAGCTCGTTTTTATACGCTCAATGAAGGTTTCTTCGCATTCAATATTAAATATCTTTTCCTTGTTGGATTATGGCCAAAATATGACCTTACTGAAAACCAGCGCATAATGTACAATATCTACGAAATCGTGATATATGTGTTAACTATAATTTTAATTATAATAACAGGCATCGGCACCTACGATTGCAGAAATGATTTAACCCGTTTCTTTTCTAACTTAGATATGACTATAGTTGTCTACAATTTCTTTCTCAAAGCCAATATATTCCTATTCAAAATAGATAAACTGAAAACTCTCATTGAAGAAATTGAGAGCTCTGGTGATGTGATGACTGAAAGAAGCAAAAAATTAATGAGTGCACCTGTTTTTATAATAACTGGATTATCTTTGATACTTGTTGGATCTTTTAGTGTACATGCCATATTTAAAGGAGAGATGACAATAGAAGCTTGGATGCCGTTTGATCCTTTGAAAGATCGAATGAGTTTAATTCTGTCTGCACAGATTTTGGCTATATTAATCTCGCCAGGATTGTTCAGAGCATTTGCAATGCAAGGGATATTGTGCAGTATGGTAATATACTTATGCGACCAGTTGATTTTGCTACAGGTAGCAATAAGGAACTTGAAGTACACAAAAGATACTCAGATGGAAATAAGAAAGAAGCTCAAAGATGTCATTAAGAAGCATATTCGCTTAATGAGGTAAGGATTGAAAAATAAAAATTTGAATTTGTTAAATGAGCAACTATGGTTCCAGTTATATTGTGAAAATTTATGCTTTAATTTTAAATTATTATATGTTATTTCAGTTACTCAAGATCAATGGCAACTATATTTAAGGAATATTTTCTTGTTCAAAACTTGGCGGTGACTTTGGAACTATGCCTGAACGCTGTTATGGTCACAGTCGTTAGTAATAGTTCCTTTGATTTGATTGAATACTCTAGATCTGCAAAAAACTACAGACAAAAAGATGGATATTTTTTCTTCCTCGGATAAACAGATATCTAGCACATCTTTAATATGTGTAAAGGAATATGTAGATTTAACGTAGTAATCCTAAATATTCAAATTGTAGAATAGGCCCGTATCCAGAATCCGATGTATTTTCTGATAAAACATCAGATACTAATTTTCTTGACGTAGGTATACTGTAAATTATAACCTAGTAACCCCAATATAACAAAATGTTGTCCGTATTAAAAAAACTACATTACGGAAGTGTTGAAGAAGTCAAGTTTTACTCAACATTTGTCCGAATGAGTTCCAGTTTTATAGGCGATTTCTCTTCTCTGTTTATGTTTTTAGTTTCAACTATTAATATATTAATTGAGATGAGAAGAGAGATGAGACGTGTAAAGTTATTATTATTTCAGGTAAGAGATGTTACTATTTTGAGTTTCCTGGCATATTTGGGCTTAGCATTGATTAATGCATATATATATTGCTACCTGGGCAATGAACTCATATTACAAGTAAGTTGAGTGAGTGTCTTGAGTGTGAGTTCTTAAGAATATGTTCTAAAATATATTTTTTGTGTTTGTAATCTGTAATCTATGGCCAGACTATAATCAGATGCGTAGGATGGTTTTGATTATTATTATTGAGTGGTCAGGACAGAGCCTCAATGTAATATTCAGAGAATTTGGTTTTCTTTTAATCTCTTAACCGCGTTTGTGTCATCAAACAAACCCGATGATACGTTCGGTGTGATGTGTTTTAAAGTATTCTAAGATATACCCCAGAAATCCCAAATGATTATTATGTTAAGTTGATTAGAACTTAAGTAACAAACATACTAAATAACTTATCAGTTTACTCCATATTGAGTTATTGGCCATCCACGTCATAAAGTTACTACCAAGATGTCAACTGCAAATTGACTAATTATTTTACTTTGGCCAATTATTCGTAGTTATAATCCCAATAACTGAACAAAGTCATTAGGGAGATATGACCTTCTCAAAGTGAGATTTTTTACTAGTACTCTGACTTTTTACGTCAATACATATATAATTTTAAGAAAGAACAGAGTTAAAAGAATATCAATTTTATGGTTTTATTAAAGAAATATTTTCGTTACATCGGTGATGTTGCGTGTCATTGTTGGCGTAGAAATACCAGATATAAAGACATCCATATTAGTAGTCATTCATTCAGGCATGGCATTCTGATTAATGTCTAGTAATGGTTTTGGTTTATTCCTTTTATCTTTTATCTTGATGGGAACCGTTGTTGGAAATGTAACCGTCAAGAATCGGACTAAGGAAAAAGGTAATAAAGAAAGATGAATGGGTAATTTTAAAAAGAATAAGTTAAAATGGAAAAACGGTAAACGTCCTTACGTTTACCGTTTTTCCATTTCAAACAGAAATCTCGGATTTCAAATATTTCTGAGACTGCAATACCAGGAAAAGGCCGGGTTCGCGTACCTAAATATCCCTCTTGTCATTGGAGTGGCCTCTTGTACAGCGACCTCAATTGGCCATATCTTAAAAATATACTTTTACCCATCAAAGTTATTTTTATTATAGAGCCGAGGCATTGTCTTGGCAGCTTATGAAGCACCATGGACATACTGGCCGATTGATATGCAGAAAGATTTGCTACTTCTGATAACAGCGGCTCAGAAGCCAATGGCGCTAAGCGCCGGGGGAGTAGCTTTAGTGTCACTACAGACATTTGGTAAGGTAAGTATACTAACAAAATTTAAAGGGGCATCGAACGTCTTAAAACTAATAGGATGACCTCTTAACGCAAACTAAGCTGAACGTGAAGTTAAGGTTCTAAAACATCCTTCACTTAATCTAATTATATATATTTTTGTATTATAAATAAATACATATTTCACATATAAAATAATAATAACCTCACATATCTCACACAGGGATGTCTGATTCCAAACTATAGAACCAGACTGCTGATAAATATACTTATATATTTTTTAAATACATGCATATTATAGCTTAATCACATCCAGACACCGAAAATAGATCGTGCTTTTCACACAAATATTTGTCCTATGTGGGAATCAAACCTACGACCTTCTTCTTAGCAGTCAGGGTCATTAACCACTAGACCAACAGGTCTGTCATAACATGTATAATTATAAACCCTGAGCAACGCATTGCTATAAATAAACAGTCATATTCATGCTTACAAATATTTGAATTGAGTTCCGAACAGTACCGCTGCATCACAGAAGCCGTCAAAGTGGTATGATGTCATGTACAGAAGCGAAGTGACTTACGCCGACTTACAGAAAGCAGATTTTATTTGAAACTTTGTCGGATATGTTATTTTGCTTATCTTATATGTCAGTATCTTACTTAACTTAACTAGAGCTTAGAGCCAGACTTTATTACAAATCATGTATGCAAATAGTTGCACCGAACAAAAATGATCCCGAAATAAATGTTGTGTTACGACATCTTTAAGCAAATAATTTGTATAGAATGTTGAGTCAGCTTTTATCTAATCGCATAAAATGAAGCAAGTCACAATTACTGATACTAATAAAGAAGATTGTATTTCAAATAACATTTTAATCACAAAATTGTAATGGAAATTTCTAAAGTAATTCTCGAGGAAATCAGCGTTACAGAAAAGCTGACGAATTGGTTATATAAGTGACTGAGATGGAAATATTTATTATGTTTTACTTTGATTCTAATTATTTATGTCCTTACTTGTCTTGTAACAATTAATGAGGAGAAATCACAGAACTACGAAGTAAACATAGGTAAAGAATCTGCAGAATAATGAGCACTTATTTATTTAATCAAATATTTACGTTGTTAAAGAAAATTGTACTTAATCGAATTTCGTAAGCAAACGTAAAAGTAAATAATAAGGCCTAAAAAGTACTAAAAAACTAAAAAAAAAGTACTTCGATCTATCATCATCACTACTATCAGTAGTCTGGTTACAATAGTACAGGCTCTGTCTGGCTTAGGATCAGACGGTCATATGTGAGATTACGCATCTCACATATGACCGTCTGATCCTAAGCCATTATTATAGCCTTAGGTTATTATAATTTGCCTTTTAGGACCGTCTGTCTGACTAAAGCTCTCTTTGGGAATATAATCGCTTTTATACGGGAGAAAGAAAGGAGCTAAACGAACCAAACAGGATGAGGGTGCGTGGATAAAGGGTATCTAAAGTCTGGGCTGGGCAACAGGACCAGAACTGTATGAGTGTATGCGTCCTATTATTGGAGAGACAACTACCACTTAACTAAAGAGTTTTTTTATTTGGGTAAATGCGGTAATCTCTATAACAATCGAGTATATAAACTCGACGATTTAAAAAAAAAAGACGTTTGATAGCAAATTTCCCTGTGCTGTTCTAATCTATTTAAATAAAAACTAAATCATCCTTCATAGTCATCACAATGTCGCGTAAAACTGCAGAGAATACAAACTTGTTTGCTATTTAATTGTATTTGTAGCCTATAATAAAAAACTATATTAAATAAGCCTGAATGCTATAATAAATCAATTTACCATTTACTTTTATTCCTTTTCAGACTCTTTATGACGGATATTCAATCTTCGCCGTCCTTAACGACATGGTCGATTAAATAAATGATCTATATATATTTTAAAGGTGTGTATTATTTTGATACTGTTACAGGTTTTATGTTAAGGATTTTTATGTTCTGTAGTCCTAGTAAGGTTGAAAGGTGGGCCTATGCTTTCTAATAATATTATTTCTAATAATACTAATAATACTACTCATCATCATCATCAACAGCCTTTACTAGTCCACTGCTGGACATAGGCCTCTCCTTAGAAAGGAGGTTTTGGCCTACTATACCACGCTGCCCAGACGGGTTGGTATAGGAGTTCTTTCAAGTTTTCCTTCTCTCTGCAGTGATATTATTCTGCGTAGTTTACTCCCTTAGTTGGCTCTTATGACACCCAGGGGATGAATAGGGGTGGTTACACTCTGTATTCTTAATCCGTCACCACACTATACAATAATGCTAACTATACTAACTGGATACATGTCAGTCACATTACAAATGACAGTCTGATTCCATACTAGACAGAGTCTGTACAAAGATAACTAAACTGATGATGTATACCGATGATGTGTGTTATATCTTTGAAAACAATATGCTGGGCTTACAGTTTATAGTACTAGAGGCGATTTTTCTTATGGCTGATGCATCAGTCGTAGACAAAACTCAAAAAATGTGAGCCTTATTACATGTTTTCAAAATAATGTTTAATGTTACTATTACTACAGTAATAATGTTTATCTGCCAAATACATTTGCATAGCGTTTCATGAACTGAGAGGATTTAACATCTGCGCCTGAACAATTTTCCTTAAACCTAAATAATTTGTACTACCAAAATAAATTTAAACAATGCCCGAACATTATTATAAGGACGAAAAGCTTGTCGCTGTCAAACGACGTTCTTAAAGTTATTGTTGAGGAAACATTTGATAGAAGTGTTTGTTTATGTACCATTACAGTCGAATAATAAGCGAATAAGTGGGGTAGAGCAGGATTATCAGAAGACCAAGCAAATATATTAATTCACTTCTCAGTGAAACAAGTTGAAAGAATTAGACTACATCTCCAGTCAGAGCTTGTCACGTGTGTTACGCAGAGGCAGCGAAAATATATTTTTTTGCAAAATATTGTTCATGTGTTACCAATTTACATGAGTAACACAGGAATCAGTTTTTTTTTTCTGAAAAGGGAAAGAAAAATTGTGAGTAATCGGCCACAATTTTTCTTTAACAAATAGTTTTGTTAAATCATTAACTGTAGCAATAATATAATACTATAGCAACATGTAATGAGTTTTAGGAACATTTTCATTTAGTTTCTGGAAAGATCTAAGAAACTTCATGAATAAGCTTTAGATTCCTTCATCACGTTTTTACGTCTTTTACAGTAGTTTTACAGTAGTTTTACAGTAGTTAATAATTCACATGCTTCATTGAAACGGACGTGAGAAAATAGTTTTATTTTGTATAGGAAAGTTAACAAGTTCGTATTATATTAACTTAAATATCAATATGTAAAAAGCTGCTTATAACAAAGCAAAGCTGTTGCATAGCGATGTCCCAATATTACCAGGACATTCGGATGCTAAATACCTCGGACAACCTTACTCACTCGGTGAAATGCAACGAAATGATTGCATAATACCGGTATTCTGTAATTTTGTGTTAACACTGCGGCAGGTTCGATCTATTGGCTATCTAAATATAATCTAAATAAATCTATCTATCTCCGATTCGGATTACATTTAATGCCCATTTTTCTAATAGTGTTCCTGATATGGTAACTTAAACAAATATGAACTGCAAAATATAGTAACGTACAGTCGGTGACGTAACAAATATGAACTGCAAAATGTAGTAACGTACAACCAGTAACGTTACAAAGATGAACTAAAAAATGTCATAACGTACAGCCGGTAACGTTACTCAAATCATCTCAAACTTTAAAAAAGAAACTACAAACAGTTAATTTTATTATTCAATAAACCTACTGCGTATATTCCTACTCTGGTCATACTAGTATAAAATTTATTTTGGTAAAAATAATGTAACGTAAAAATATTGCCTTGGACAGCGTTGCGTCCCACTTTATTTGTAAAAAAACGTCTTAGTGCAAGAGCTCTCGTAATTTAAGATAAAATAGAGGTACGTCCTTTTGTGAAAACATTTATTCATTTTACTATTTGCGGAGGAAAGAGATTTTAATTTACTTAATATATAAAAAAGATGTAATGCTGATATCCTTGTATCTAGCCAGAATAACTAGTCAGTTCTTCAGAGGTCTAGAAATAGTATTTACTACGCCTATACAATATATAACATTTAAAGACAAAATTATACTGAGTTAATCATAAAACAAAGTTATCTGACTTTCTTAGCAATATGTGTACATCTAGAAAGTTTCTACACATCCTTAGAATCAAGCTAGATAAACACTATACAGAATAAATTAAAACCTTATTCTCTGGCCTGTTGGTCTAGTGGTTAGTGACCCTGACTGCTGCACCAGAGGTCGTAGGTTCTTTATCTATTACATGTATGTATTTAGAAATATATAAGTATGTTTACCAGCAGTTTGGCAAAAAAAAAAATTTAATATTTAGAAAATTTATTTAAAATAATGAAAACTGAATTCATTAATTTAGAAACTTATTTAAGATGACGCTATGTATTATACCTACTACTGTTATATATTATCATTGTATCAATTGTAATTTCGTATTAATTCATGCATGCACTTAATATGTACTTTTAATTCCTGATATATTTATATTTGTTTTGTAATTTATTCATTATGGAAATAAAGAGGCTATAATAATAATCAGCAGTTTGGTTACCATAGCACAGGCTCTGCTTAGTTTGGGATTAGACGGCCGTGTGTGAAATGTTTGAAAATATTATTATTATTCTCTTTACTACATTATATATACATATTGATTATATTTTCAAATATATTTAAAAAAATAATTAAAAAATATAGTCTACTAATTTTATTTTTTTAAACATAAAAAAATAGGAGAAATAGGTCTACTCTTTTTTTATTTTTAGATGTTATTTTCTTTTGTAATTATATTTTTGTATTTGTAATATTATTACAAAATAAAAAAAAAATAACATAAGTCATGTACATACATTTTCCAACTGGAGATTAAAGGCGACTGGTTTTCTTTGGTAACGGCAAAAAGTTCTTTCCCTTTTCAAGGTTTATAATTCTAGCTAAAAAAGAAACATCTCGTAGGCTGTGATTTGGAACTCAATATTTTTGCAGCTCCAAAGCAAATAAAAATTCGTAAAGAAAGATAAGAATTCTTAAAAAGTGACAAACAGACAGACAATGGTCACAAATTGATCCTATAAAGACACATGTTTCCTTTTTAGAAATTTGGAAATGGAACCCTAAACCCTTTTTTAAATTTTAATAATTTACTCCAATATGATATAGATAGCATATTATTACTCTACTATTTTGACGTCGGTAGTCTACTGCGTTAATTATCGAACTGATAACCATTATAATTTTTTTTGAGGCCTATGTTCAGCAGTGGCCTGTTAAAGGCTGTTGATGATGATGAACCATTACATTTTTATACGTTTTATGGCAGTGCAAAACTATTCCGACGACATTCCATCGACAGTTTATTGATAGTTTATTAAAATAGCAGAATTAAGGCTCTGGCTGATTGCTTGCTTGCAATCAGTTGCCTGGCTCATTGCCTAAATTTTTTAACCAAACAAAAGGAGGAACTTTTCAACTCAGGTGCATTTTTTCTTTTATTGTTACCTGATAGCGCCGTCATTTATGAACCAATGAAGATTTTTTTTTTTGTTAAGAAGGATATACCGTCCGTTAATTTAAGTTAAAAAAACTAATAATACTATAAAGTTAAGGCAATGAAGCATGTAGTTTTTACAATTCATTATTATGTAGGCCTTTTGAAGTCTGTGAAACTTTTTTATTAATTAATTCACATCACATCACATCAACAGCCTTTACTAGTCCACTGCTGGACATCTCCTTAGACAGGAGGTTTTGGCCTACTATACCATGCTGGCCAGACGGGTTGGTATAGGGTTTGTTTCAAGTTTTCCTTCTCTCTGCAGTGCTGTTGTCCTGCGTAGTTTGCTTCCTTGGTCGCCTCTTACGACACCCACGGGATGTATAGGGGTGGTGACACTCTGTATTCTTAATCCGTCACCACACACATTATTAATTGTTTTAGTCAATAAAATTTTTAGTCATTTTTTTAAGAAGGTAAATATATAATATTACTGATATAAACCTTTCACCTATTCATCAAAAGATAAATGATCTTAAATTAAACGGAATAGAGAAATTATCAAAGTTTCTCATAATTATGTTTTTTATTTTTACTTTGTAAACTTAGTGGAGTGGATTTTATTACGAACGAAGGTGAGGTTGTTAAAAACTTGGCGACGCTGGCTCGGTTACCTCAGAAATAAAGTTAAAGAACCCTGCAGTAACAAGCCATTCATTTTGTTGAGGTGTCGAGAGTTTATGTAAAAAATGTGTTTATAAATGAAAATTATAGACCACATTTTAAATATTTTAAAGTTAAACTAAAATTAGTTTGTAACGAAAAGAAAAGAGAATAGATATTTTGACATTTAAATTCACTCATACTCTAGTTACAGCTATGTGTTCGTTCATATTTCGTTCGTTCATTTTATCTCTTTCTTTCTAATTTCTTATTTTCTAGGTTCTCTTATAATATACTAATTGAATATGATGAAGATAAATCTTGGATTTACCTTCATTAACCTCCAAAGTGCCTAGTTGATGCCTAGTTAAGCCTATTGGCTTTGGGCTTATGAAAGTTTGTAAAATTTCAACTCCAAAAGATTCCAACTCTCTCATCTCTCTCTCGCTCTTTCTCTCATTTAGAGTTTAGAATTGTTAATCGACACAGCTCACTTATGCATATTAAGAAGAGGGTTGGACCCACCACGCCACCCTGTGGAACGCCATAAGTAATGGTGTTCCACGTCCACAAATATCAGTCTATCCTTTTTGTCCTGAATATATGTAGGTATATTT